AAAAACTTTGTTTTCAAAAAGATGTTGTTGTGTATGACCAAAATTAAGCTTTTTAAAAGTTCACTAACTGGTCTGGTTAGAAAGCCATCCAGCCAACAGCCTAAGCTGGCATCGCATGTACATGTAGGCTTTTTGTAGGAAGTAGAAACTGACTTTTTTGAATTCATAAAAACATAAGCTTCCAATTTAGCTATTAATAAATCATGAGGAATCAGGTCGTAAGCTTTTGAAAGATCCATAAGCATGGACTCAATAATATCTCCTTTATGCAAGCATTCCTGCCATTTTTTCATTAAAATAAAAAGCACATGCTGAGTACCATCACCTCTACGAAAGCCACACAACAGAATGTTCTATCTAGACTCAATAGGCCCGTATTTGCTCAAACTTTTTTTCTCTCTTTGTATTTGTTAAAAGTGAAAATGTTTAAAAAAAAAAACAAATAAAAACAATGCCAGGGACGAACCCAGACCTGTTTTAGTACCGCTGGAGCGGTATGGGCGCCCAAAAAAAAAAGTCCGAAAAATTATTTTAAATTTTTTAATTTTTCTTTTGCTTTTTTATTATAAATTGAAAAAAAAGCTTTAAATGAAGTAATATATAAACAATTTTCAATTTATTTTAGCTACCTCATTTGTTCTTCAGGTCAATAAAATGAATTAAAAAGAATTTGCCTCTACGTAATGACGTAACTGTCCTTCGGTTACGAACAGAATGTAAGTTGAAAAAAAAAAATGAATGTTACGAAAAAAAAAAACTTGTTGCAAAATTTTATAACAATGCACAGTGGTCCAGAACCATGTCATTTTATATAATAATGTTTTATAATAAAAACAATTTAAAAATTGAATTATATATAGTATGTGAAAACTAGATTTAAATTTTTAAGGTTCGTTATTTTGAATGTTTAAGGTCCGGAGGGTTTAAAGTTTAAAAATTGACACAAAATTACAATTTTTTGGGCAAAAATCAGTCTGCAAACTTTTATACATTCTCACTCCTAGCAATGTCACAGGTATACCAATTTTTTTTAATATTCTTATAAAATATGGAGAATCAATATAAAATAATTTAAAATATAAAATTTCATAAAAAAGACACAATTTATCGCATGTTTAACACTTTTTTCTTTTAAATTGTTTAAAAATAATATTTTGAATAATGAGGAAAATTTTCGCTCAGGTTTGCCCAGCTGGAAATTTTTTGTGTTTGAAAAAATTATGTTTGTAGAAAATTTCTGAAAATATTTTGGCTGCTTTCGTTTGCTTTTGTGTCTAGGGTCAGTTTAAACATGACATACTTAAACTAAAATATGGCTCCCCCTCATACTCTCGATGTTTTTTAACAAGTTTCAAGAACATGAATAGTGGAATATTCTAGAATAACAGCAGAAAAGACAAATAAACAAAACAAGAAATATTCACAAATATTTACAGTAATTATTTAGTGCACTAAATACCTTTCACCACTATAGTGGTGAAATCTAATTTAAATATGAAGAACAAAAACATTTTCGAATACTTAATTAAAGGAAAGTACGATAATAAATATGAAAGTTTATTTAGTAAAAAAGCAAAAACTGAAATTTGTATATTGATGTCTCAATGTTATCCAAACTACAATCAGATGAAGTTAACCGAAAAAGATCTTCAGAGATTACTGAAAAGTTAGGAGTTACAACTGAAAGCCTATTTCATGCCCTTATTCTTAATCTAAATAAAGACGGATAAAATAAAGACGCCAAAGTTTTAAAACATATGATGGAATGTAAAGTTGATGGATCCTGCAATCTATAAAATCTATAAAGCTGCATTTTTAAAATAGCACCTTTAAAAAATCTAAGCAAAAAATCTAAGCAAAAAAAAATCTGTTTCTGAAGATGCTGCTAATGTCCTTTGTGAAAACTTTAGTAGATTGACTTTTGATATTATAAAAAAATCAGTTTAAAAACAATACTTCACTTCCAAAAACGCAAAGGTATACTGAAGTTAAAAAATTGGCAATAACTCTGCATTTTTACTCACCTAAAGCATACAATTTTCTACAGCCTATACTCCATTTACCTGCTTCAAGCTCTTTAGCCAACTTAGATTGTGAACCTTGTTTTTTTAAAGATGTTTCTAGTTATATTAGTATAAAAGCAGGGACTGACATTAATTATAAAGATTGTACATTAATTATAGATGCAATGACAATTAAAACATCAGTTCTAAACTATAAAAAGAAAGGTCGATTCATTGGCTTTACAGATTATGAAAAAGATATTGTTGCAATTGAACCAGATACACCAGCAACAGAAGTATTGGTATTTATGCTGGACGGATTACGAGGTCATTGGAAAACACCTAAATACTGTGTGGTAAAATAACAGCTGTAAACCTTTCATTTCTTATTAAAAAAACATTAACAATTTCTTCTGATAAAAAAATTAATGTACATAGATTTACATTTGATGGTGTAAGTGTTTACTTTAATTCTGTTGCATCAATAGAATGTACATTTGGGAAAAGTCTAGAAAAAATTAATGGACGATTTACTTTTGAAGGCTATAATTACTACTTGTATGTAATCCCTTACCCAAGTCATATGCTAAAATTAGCTAGAAATGCGTTATGTGATTTAGAGGTACTTAAGGATTGTGATGGAAAATACATTAAATGGAGTTATATAAAAGCTTTATATGAAATAAAAAAAGAAGAAGGATTGAAATTTGCAAATAAAATCTCAATAGAACATATTTATTTCCAGCGTCACAAAATGAATGTTAAGTTTGCTGCACAAACACTTTGTAGTTCAGTTGCAGATGCAATTGAATTTCTGATGTTTTCCAAACGTCCAAATTTCAAGCATGCTGAAATAACTATAAATTTTATAAGGGTCATTGACAAATTATTTGATATGCTGAACTCTAAAAATCTTTTTTCAAAATTATATAAGAAAGCTCTTTTTTTAAATGATTATCCTTATTGGAATGTAACTTTTGATCAAATAATAAACTACTTGTCAAAGTTGACAGATGCTAATGGTGCTCCATTATTAAAACATAGGAGAAAAGCCTTTGTATTAGGGTTAATTGTGGCTGTAAAAAATCTTCAACACTTAGCCTATGAGCTTTTGACTTTAAATGTTTATCCTTTTAAATTTTGCCTAACTTACAAATTTTCAAGGTCATTTTGAGTTACTGTTATTACAATCAGACTGCAAAGATATGGCCAATTATATACAGAAAAAATTTAAAGAAAATCAATGATTGGTCTATGTCAACAGTCAAATAAATTGATTATATTCAAAGGTTTATAACATATATATATATATATATATATATATATATATATATATATATATATATATATATATATATATATATATATATATATATATATATATATATATATATATATATATATATATATATATATATATATATATATTCTGAATTTTTAAATTTTTAACAATTTTTTTATCCTTTATATATATATATATATATATATATATATATATATATATATATATATATATATATATATATATATATATATATATATATATATATATATATATATATATATATATAAATTAGTAGAAAATCACTGTGTTTCATCAATAAAGACTCATCAGAAATGAATGATCAAATTAATAAAACTTTAATTTATACCAAAAATTAAATTACAAGAAGTCACATGTCTTAACTACTGCAATTTTTCACACATTTGTGTAATTTGCTGACACTATTGTAAAAAGAATTCTTTAGAAATTATTACTTAAGCTTTTTTAAAAAATAATATATTTTTTTCAAAGGGGATTTAATGTAACTATTATTTGAGCTCACTTATTTTTATAGTTTTTTCGGAGAAACTTATTTTCGTGCCTGCATTTAGAAATCAATTTCGATTTTTTGTTTAATAAACATTCTTGGTTTGTATGTGTAATTATTTCAAATTTTTTTTGTAGACATGTATGCATTTTTAGTATGCATTTTTTGGAAATATTGTTATATGCATATATATATATATATATATATATATATATATATATATATATATATATATATATATATATATATATATATATATATATATATATATATAAATTGCTTTATATAAACTGCTTTTTTGAGAAAAACCTGCTCCCACTCCCTAAATGTGTTCTATCTAATACAAAAATATTTCGAATAAAAAAAATTTTAAGGGGTCCCATAAGATAAAAATTTTTTCAAAAAGAATATAATTTTTGAAATTTTTATATAATTTCGCTTCATTTGAGAACCAGGTTGACATATTTTTGAAAAACTCTTTTTTGAAAATATTAGGAACCCAATAAATATTCGAGGGTCTTGAGGGACCTCTTAAAATATCAATAACTACTAAAATTGAATTTACTAAAATATAGTTTTAATAATTATTTACTAATAACATGGTATTTGCTACAAAAGTGTTTATTAAAGTCTTTAATAAAATAGTTTTCTTATCATAACTAAAGTAAATGGTCCACCAAATTCATGTATTCAAAGAAATGCCTTTAAATTAATTCCTTATCTTAAGATAAAACAAAACAAGATAAACACAAATTATTAAAATGATGATTGAAAAGGTGATTATCAAAAAATCCTTTAAAAAGTTACAAGGAACAACCTTTAAAAGGTTTCAAGGAATATCTTAAATTTAGAACTTCAGTTAAACAGGTAAATTTTTTTTTCTTTTTATTAATTAAAATGATATGATTTTTTCATTTTCATTAAAACAACTCTTTTTTGTTACTTTTAATATTTAAAATCAAAAATATATTAATTTCAAAACTTAAAGAATTCAACCTAATATTTATATATAAGCAAAGATTAGAAAATTGTTTAAAAAAGTTTTTTTATCAGCCTAGTATGCGGTATAGTTTTAAAAATAAAAACGATATCCAGTAAATTTTATTCTGTAAAATCTATCCTGTATATGTATATCCTTTAAAATTTATCTTGCAAATCACACTTTCATGATTATTTTCTTCTTTAGTCTTTATAACTAACACTCAGGAGTTATTCATTGAATGTTTTTACGAATCTCAATCATTATTCACCGATGAGATAAAAGCATCGATTGTTGAAAGAGATTGGATCATCTCGATTGAAGATGGAAAAACTTCTTATCAAGTTTCTTGTGATACATATTTTGTCAATCTCATAAACTCTGATAAAAGAGTAATACATTTATTTGTTCACAAAAAATTATTTTCTGAAGAAGAAAAGAATCTCATCAAGAAATGTTCGACGAAGGCTGTAGATATAACTCTTTTTTATCCATGTGAAATGGGTGAATGGAAATTGAGTAACAAAATTAAACGTTTGACTATAGAATGTCGAATGCATCCAATATTAAAAAATGAATTTAAAAATTTTGTTCCATGGTTTAATATGTGTGAAGAATTAATTATTTACCTTCATGACGAATCCAAATATCTTAGAAAAGTTTGGAAATGGACTGGAAATTTAAATCTCCGTGTATTTATGATAGCGTTTCGCGGAAGAATATGCCATAGCAGAAAAGAATTTAAAAAAATTGCAATTCAGAAAAAGTAAATATATATACATAGTATATTTTTTATTATAATGTAGTTTTAAAGTTTTGTATATATTAAAATGATTTTTAAAGAATGTGAATTTGGCTAAAAAAAAGTGTCATTTTTCGTATGTGTCTAATCGGGTCTTTTAAAATTGAAAATAGGGAAAGGTGCCCTCTGATGGCATACTTAACTTTGAAGATTCATTATAAAGTATCCTGAAGACCAAAAATAAAAGTGTTGATGTAGGTACATTCCTAGTAACATGTAGAGCAATAGTAACCCTCAGAATTTTTATCAGTTTTACTTTTTTGAAAGTTATTTCAATTTTAAAAAAGTACGAGTATGCCATCATAGGCAGCCAACTGCTCCTATGATGGCATACTTTTAATAAATTACACAAACAGCTTATTTTTTGTTTTTTACCGATAAAAATACAGTATATTCTTCAAAAATTTATAAAGAAAGTTCACATATAAATTTTCTTCGTTTTTTATCTACGCCTGCGCATAAACAATGACACCAAGAACTGCATTTTTGGCAGCAAACCCAAGGTTCTTTGGACTGTGAATAAAGTTCTTCACAAAACAAACAAGCTGTATCAGATACAAAATCAATTTTATTGAGTCTTGTATTATTTGCATCAGTGAAGCCTTTTTTTTTTAAATAAGAAACTGCCAAGTTTTTATGAGTAACACACTGTAAAAAAACTCCGTAGTATTTAATAGACTGTTTCCGTTGTTTTGTTACGGAAAAAATCTTTTTTTCAATAAATTACGGTCTTTTACCTATACTTTTAAGACTTTTAAAATAATCACATCTTTTTATGAGATTTTGACCGTATTTATGATACGGAGCAGTTCTGTTATTTTAAATTACAGACTTCAACCGAATATTTTAGTTTACTTTTGTATAGACAAAGCGCCAAGTTCTTTTTAACGAAGAGAAGTTATATACGTTTTTAATTTCAAGTTAAAGATTTTAATATACTTATATTTGTTTTAATGGAACTAAAGTGCTGCGTGTTTTTAAATAAGCGCATTCACAAAAATTTTTTTGTAATTTAGGTGCTGATTTTTTTTTAAGATGCTATTATAAATAGATATAGATATTTATTAAAGATAGGTACTTCTCAAAATTAGTTTCCTATATTATTATATAGGGTTTATATGGTATAAAAATCTTTTCTTATGTATTGAATTTTTTAAAGTTCATACTATTTAGTGTTACGTTTTTATAGTATATAAAAGAAATACTAAACAATATGAAATATAGAAAATTCAATTCATAAGAAAAGGATTTTATAGCATTGTAAATAAATAAAACATAATTTTCTAATAACTTATTAGTAAATATAATTCATACTAGCTGGTATGACCCGTACGATACAGGTCGTGCCAAGTCTAATTTACGCCCAACGATTTTTAAACTTGTTACTTAGTCTTTATACTTTAATTTATTTAGTAAACGGCAAAACAAAATCAATTTATAGTTCTGGCAGATGGTAAAATACGAACTTTAATTGCAATTACAGTTAATGTTCGTCTACCAGAAAAAGACGTTTAAAACGTCTTTTTTAGGTCCGGTGCCGACTAGGTTTCTGTAAAAAAAAACTTAAATTATTTATATAATTATAAAAAATTTATATAATTGTTGAAATATATTAACAATTATACTGTTTTAATTGCGGGATTGACTGTGGTGATCCGTACGATACGGGTCGCGGCAACTCTAATCCACATCCGGCTATTTCCAAACTTGTTTTTAGTTAGGTAAGTAAACAGCAAAAAAAATAGTCGATTTATATTTTTTTGTTAACAATTGACTTAATATACTTTAGAAACTGTACTTATTTACTTAATGTACTCCAATATTTTATACATAAAAAGATCTTTAACATAATAGAGACAGTTGCGAAACAATTCTTCAGGTGTTTTTGAAAACTTAGGCTATAATCAAAATTTTACCCTCTCATCAAGATTTATTTAAAAAACAAATTCGGGCATCAGAAAACGGGCCAAAGAGACTTGTTATTTCAAATAAGTTAGCTTTATCCGTTTGATACTTTTTATAAAAACGTTGCAGCAAAAAACAAAACTGTTAACAAATTCATTCAATTAAGCTGTTTTTACATCCGAAGTTATTAAACTTGTTGTTTGTGCTAATCGATACTTAATGCAAATAGAAACTTCGAGTACAAAGTACGATTTTAAGTATAAACGGTTTCTATTCATATAGGGAAAGTGGGGGCATAACCGCCCCCGTAGCGTTTGGAATAATGTTATATGAAGATGAAAACGAAATGTGTTTTTTTAACAGTTTATTTCAATAACAACATCATTAAGCTTTAAATTAATGCAATTAAGAAAAAAATTAAACGGTTTTTGAAAATGTTATAATACAAAAAGTACAATTAGTGAAAAAAACGGTTTTCCCCCCATTGTGAGGCACAACCACACCCTCACAAAAATCGATGGGCTACACCTTTCATGGTACATTTTTTTTACAATTTTCACAGCTCAGATTATTTGATGATTTTGATGCATGTTTGCATACTGTGCAGGCATTCTTTGTATTTACATTTTGAGTTCTGCCCCAAAAGAGAGTTCTGCCCCAGAAGAGAGTTTTTAGAAAGAAATCAGTTTCATAGTTTAATTATTAGATTATGGTATTATCAAAAATGGATTTCACTTCATGAAATAATGCTAATAACACATATCTTTAACATTAAAATCAAATATTGCTTAATTCTCAAAAAGAAGGTGAGGAAAAATATGATGTAAATATAATATTTTTATCAAAATAAACATTATTATTCACAATTTCTCAGAAACTTAACAGTCACTCTTTTTGACATATGCAAAATGAAGGAAACTGTTTTACTCACGCGTGGTATGTTTTTTGCCATATTAGATAACATTTTTTGAAGAGAAATGTTAAAAAACGGTTGTGCCTCCATATGCGGTTATGCCCCCGCTTCCCCGATATAAAAAGCAACAAATATATAAAAAACAATGCAAAATTATCAATATATATTCATTTGAAACAATAAATCTAAAATAAAAAAATTTAGATATTTACTTAAGAAACAAAAAACATATTTTTTTTGAGATAAAATAAAAATATAAACTTAAAAAAAATATTATATTTAACAAAAAGTAACAAAAATTGAAACATTATTTCATTATTATTAGCTTTAGGTAGGCCATAATCAAGTCAGATATAAGAAAAGGAACTCGACCTAAAAATGGAACAAAATTATTTTAAACATATTACATTAATTACAAATTAACGTGTCATGCAACCAATTAATTTTTATGCTCGGCGGATTTCTTCATTCTCTACTTCTGCCATGTTTTTAAATGCAAGAGCAAATGGGTTTTCTTGATTAATTAATGTTTGCAAAAGTTGCATTAACTCGCATATACAACCATCATTACCAGGTTGCTCCATTCTGAATGACACTGCTGCATTAGGATCATAGATATATAACTGACAATATTTGGGAAAATTCTGCAGGCCTAATGTTTAATTTTTTAAGCCAATTTTAATTTTTTAAGCCAATTTTAATTTTTTAATGACGATGAAGCATCGTCATTAAAAAATTAAAATTATTACTAATTAAGTTAATGAAGCAAAGTTTTCGATCTTATTACTGATTAAACAGGTATTAACAGATTCAAGAGTACCTCATCGCGCGGTCAAAAAGAGAAATATCTAAAAGGCCAAGCCAATGATATATTAAGAATAACTAGATGTCTAACTGCCGTAAATCGGTATAAGAAAAAGTGAAGCAAAAATCGGCCATTATGGGGGGCAAAATCTTTACGCTATTAATCAAAACAAAACAAATATGAAGCTTAAAATTGTTTAAAAATGTAATCAATAAAAAATCGATACACAGATATCTGAAAAATTTGATGTTATTTTGATTTTGATTTAAAATTTAATAATTATGTAAACGTGCATTGTTTTTTTAAACATTTTAAAATCATACTTATTTCATTTTTTTTTATTTTAAAATTTAAGTTTGAATGATTTTAAAAGGATTTAATTCACATGAAATAAAAAATAAAAATTGCAAAACTTTTTATTAAGGAAATATAAAAATAAAATAAAAAAACCATTAGTGTTTTAACCATTAGTGTTTTAAACTTTATTATTTAAGCTCAATTAAAATAGTTGCGGGGTAGTTAACTGTTGTTCTAATTCCTTTTATATCGTTTTAATTTGTGGAATTTAACCATACCATATCGATTCTATTAGCCACAAGTGCGTATTGAAAAGTTAAAAGTCTTTTTTTCAATTTTTTTTTAAATGAAGAATTGCCTTAAATTTTTATTTTTTTTGAGGGGGGAGGGTGGGTTTAAATTATTTTTAAGTTATAAAATTTTAAGTTATAACTTTTCTAATATTCTTGAGCGTAATTATAAATTTTAAAGGAGGAAATAAAAAAATATTGAGGGAGGGGCGAAGAGGGGGAAGGGGGCTCAAAATTATTTTCACGTTGTAAAAAATAGTTTTCTAACATCCTTGAGCTTAATTATGATTTTTAAACAAAAAAAAAAAAAGGGCCAAAATTTCATGTAAGTTGGACATACTCCTTTAACATTCAGCTAAAATCTTAGATTTAGTTGAATTTTAATCTTTAATCTATTAACACTTTATGCACCTGTTAGCCATTAATTACCCTCTGCAGTAATGCTAGGAGGTTTTATAACATAACTGCAAGGTAAACAGAGTTAAAACTTGTAATGAAACATTTTATAAAACTGTCTTGACTATTAACTAAGTTCTGTGTGACACAACTTAGAGGTTCCTTCTAGAAATGTTAGAATTTTATTTATGGTTAAATACTTCTTGTTATCATAAAAATCATTATTACTTTTTTCTATAATTGATTTACCGTCAATTAAATAAATTTAATTCAATGTTATGTTATAATCTAGTAAGGTTTTCAACACAAAAAAAGCTCCATAGGTATTCAGGTATATAAAGAATATCTTTTTTTTGAAAAGCAAGTTTTTCAATATAAACAACAAATCAAGAAAAGTAACAGTAAATAAAACTTAATTTAATTTTCATATATATATATATATATATATATATATATATATATATATATATATATATATATATATATATATATATATATATATATATATATATAAAATATATATATATATATATATATATATATATATATATATATATATATATATATATATATATGCTATAAGCCTTTGAATAAAATTAATTTATTTGATTGTTGACGCAGACTAATCATTATATATATATAGACCAATTTTTCTGTATATAATTGGCCATATCTTTGCAGTCTGATTGTAAAAAAGTCATTTGCTAACATTTTTATTAGTTGTGTGCAATGTATGTCTTCGGTAACAGCTTCATGGTCAGCATCGTGTTCATTTAGGTCTTTAAAAAAAATGTTTTTCAATAGAAATTTTATTAACTGCATAAATCATTTTCAGTTCAAGATTTCGCTCCACATTCATTTTTTGTTTTTTGAAATTGTCATTGCTGACATAAATTTTGAAAACGCTCTCGTATACTATTATAGTTTGTATAACACCATTTTCTGGAGCAATAAACACATTCCTATTTTTTATGTTAATCAATGAAAGAACTGATGCTCTATAAGAATATTCCACAAAATTGTTTTATGCGAGTTTGCACACACAGAACATGTTATCTTATAATAATCTTCTTACAATAAATCAAGAGCTATTTAAAAATTACAATCCTTAAGTCGCTCTAAATCACATAACACATTTCTAGTTAATTTTAGCAAATGACTTGGGTCAGGGATTACATACAAGTAGTGATTATAGCCTTCAAAAGTAAATTGTCCATTAATTTTTTCTAGTCTTTTCCGAAATATACATCCTAGTGATGCAACAGAATTAAAGTTAACATTTACACCATCAAATGTAATTTTACTACATTAATTTTTTTATCAGAAGAAATTGTTAATGCTTTTTTAATAAGACATGAAAGGTTTTCAGTTGTTATTTTACTACACAGCATAAGGCCAATAGGTGTTTTCCAATGACCTCGTAAATACAGCATAAATACCAATGCTTCTGTAGCTGGTGTATCTGGTTCAATTGCGACAATATCTTTTCCATAATCTGTAAAGCCTATGAATCGACCTGCTTTTTTATCGCTTAGAACTGATGTTTTGATTACCATTGCATCTATAATTAATGCACAATTTTTATAATTAATATCAGCCACTGCTTTTATATTAATATAACTTAAAACATCTTCAAAAAAAAACCAGTTTTACAATCTACAAAAGAAGTCCAGTTGGCTAAAGAGCTTGAAGCAAGTAAATGGAGTATAGGCCGTAGAAAATTTTATGCTTTAGGTGAGTAAAAATGCAGAGTTATTGCAAACTTTTTAATTTCATCAGTATACCTATGCCCTTTAGGAAGTGAGGTATTGTTTTTAAACTGATTTTTTATAATATCAAAAGTCAATCCACTAAAGTTTTCAAAAAAAGTATTACCAATATTTTTTGTGAAAATATAAATTGTGTAAATATTAGCAGCAACATTACTGTTATCACTTATATCCGAATAGAAATCGATGTAATGGTGACTGCCTGTTTCTGAAACTTTTTAAATGAGTCTCTTTTTATTTGTTTGTGGCGATATAGGACTAAACTTTCTTTTGGGTTTGAATCAATAGTAATAGATGGCATAGAAAAAGGTTTTAATTGCGGTTTGTTATTAAAATCAGGTATATTGTAATCTGAAGGTAAAAAGTGATCACTACAAATGCAGCTGTGCTCAGTAGGAATGTTTCACGTTTTATAGCAACAATCCACTTTTTACAGAGTTTGCTATTACTAATTGGAAATTTATGAAGTACTCTGTTGTTGTTTTTCATTGCTCTATTTGTACAACCTGCTGCTGCACAAGAATTAACCATGATTTCTAATTTTTGAATATTAAATATTATTTGATCCAAACAACCGTGATTTACTATTTATTTTTGCCCCCCATAATGGCTGATTTTTGCTTCAAAAAATACGCGGAAGTTACAGTCATTACGGGTAACTTTGAACGGTTTGCGCTAGGTTTATCTCAACAAAAATTGTTTTACTAACTAGATAACAAATATTTTTACATAAAGAGTGTTCTGATGATCTCTTTTTTCTAGTTTGCTATCATTTTTTTAAATTTGCTAGATATTATGTAAAAAAACAATGTTCAAGTAGGCGTTCAAAGTTACCCTCGCATTTCGGGTAACTTTGAACACTATTAAACTGAATGTCAATTTTAATCTTTTAAATCTAAAAAGTTGTTTAAATTTCTTTGTATAAGTTTAAATTAATTTTTTTAAAAATCTAGTTAAACTATTTCGAGAATAAACAAACAAGTTTTTCAATAAAATATTTCTAGAATAAACAAACAAGTTTTTCAATAAAATATTTCTAGAATAAACAAACAAGTTTTTCAATTTAAATATTCACAAAATAATTTTTAAGGTTATAAAAGAAAAAATTAAATAAGACATTATTTTTATATAATTCTCCACAAATAAACACCATTGACTATAAAACTAAATATTACAGTGTTTCCTTCTTTAAGTCTTGAGTTTCAACTAACTCTTTTACAAAATAATCATGATCAAGGAAAACATGTACATAGTGATTGTTTATTTGCTCCAATGAAAAAACTGCATCATTTTGAGATACAGGTAAAACTTGTTCATCGTCTTCAATAACTTGATTAACATTTACGATGCTTGAACTTTGTAAAATATTAAGTTTTTTGTTTATTTTCATAACCATATTATTTGATCCAAGTGGTCTTCCTCTTTTCTTTGCTCGAATATTATCTTGACTTTTTTTTTATTGTCTCTTTCCTTATAGTATGCTTCTACCTCAGTGGGTGATACACTTTTCCCTGCTGTTATTGGTAACTTAAATTTTTTGCTTACTTCATAATTAAGATGAATATCATCAACATAATTCCTAAACGATTCTCCAATATTGAGTTGAATATCTATATTTGTAAAACTGGGTAATTTGGAGAGAACATGTTCTGGTAAAAATGGATATATGCCAGTAGCCATAAATCCTGCTTGGAGATTATGTTCTAGATTTTCTTTACCAACATTAAGAGTAGATTTAATGAGCTGCGTAAATAAATTTTTTGGCAGATTATTAACCTTTTTTCTTCTGGATGTTTTACGCCATTGATTAAGAACTGACCTCCAATTAGCTTTTAAACTCGAGAAATATCCAACATCTAAAGGTTGTAAAAGGTGTGTGGAATTGGGTACCAAACATATAAATGTTATATTATACTTTTCACATATATTTAAGGCTTTTAAAGATATATGAGCACTTAAATTATCGCAAATCAGAATTTTTTTACTTTCCTTATTTATAATATTTGGAACAAAGTGATTTAACAGCCACTCTTCAAATATTTGAATTTCCATCCAGCCACTGCAAGAAGTTGCCATTCTTGATCCTTCTGGTGCATTGAAAAGCCAGTCAGACCAACTGTGTTTTCCTTTAAAAATGAAAAATGGTGGAATTAGTTTTCCTGAGGCATTTTCACAAAAAACAACAGTGTAACAAGTTTTTGTTGTGTTTCTTATAAGTTCTGGATGGCGAGAGGATCGACGAAATATAAGTTTTTTTTTCCAGGGTCATCATGAAACCCTGTTTCATCCATATTGTAAATGTTATCTGGCGTTACTCCATTTAATTCCTTCTCTAGATTTTGAAAAAATAATTTTATTTGACAATAATTAATTTGTGCACGTTTCCTTGAAATACAATGAGATACTTTTTCTTTTAATGATGGATGCCTGTCAAGATAAAGTTTACACCACTCCCAACCTGGTCAGTTATCTTTAAACTGTTGTATATTTTTTCCACTATCATCCAAATAGATTTTGACAATACTTTTAAAATCATTGATCCCAATTGGTATACCTTTGTCACTTAAATAAAGTAAGTGATTTTCAAAACAAAGTTCTTCATCAATGCTAAGGGCAATTGGGCGCCCTACTGATTTACAGTGTTTATTTTTTAGCTTATAAAATAATGTTGCTTTAGGTACTTTATAAATTTTAGAAGCTTCACCAATCGACATTTTTTCTAATTTAATTTTGGCTAAAGCCTCTTGAAGTGTAGAATTGGTGTAATTAGATTTAGTGCCATATTTTCTTGTGCCAGGATGACTTGTCGAACATTTTCTTGGCATTTTATGAATGCTAAAAATATAAAGATGATTTATGTTATTAATGAAAATTATTTAATTAATCGCATATTTGCTTTTAATAAAATATATTATTAAATCTATCAAGATAGCCATAAATATCAAAAATTAATATATTAGTAATATATGTTATAATTTTTATTATTTATAATATCATATATCATTTTATAATAAAAATACTATAATAAAAAGATGCCTATTATTTATTATGTATTATTGCAATGTTACTCAGACAACAAAAAAAGCATTTTTGGAAAATATTGATTGTCTAAAGTTATCCTGAATTTGGTTATATTTTAGCTAAGTGGAAATAAATATCCTTTTTGTAGCAAAAAACATGTTAAATCCTATTATTTTGAGTTTGTAATAAAGTTCGAAAAATAATTCAATAAAATACTTAAAAATCTATTCAGAAAATTACAATATAATACCAAATATTCTAAATTGAAAACACACGACGTTATCACCACATTCGACTGTGTAACTGGAAATGGAGGAAAACATTATTTTTGAGAAATAAAATTTAATTTTCTTTGGTCAAACTTTTGTAAAAAAAGATAATTCATCATATTATTCTTTGTTAAAGCAACAGGCAAAGAAAATACCAAAGAAAAAAAAATTTAAAAACATTTACACGTTTAGTTCAATGTTACCCGCAAATTCAAAGTTACCCAGAATGACTGTAGACATCCATTCTTAATATATCATTGGGCCAAGCACGCTCATAAAACTCCGTGTAAAAACGCGCACGAATGGTGAGCATTCATCGGAAGTGTTAAGTTATTAATATTTATAGATTGTTTAGTGTTTCTTTTATATACTATAAAAACGTAACACTAAATAGCATGAACTTTAAAAAATTCAATACTATCAATAATATCTAAATAAAATTGTAAATAAAACATGACTTATTAGTAATAAGTCAAGTTTTATTTACAATTTTATTCAGATATTATATTGAATTTGTGATTAACAGTGATATATTTGAGATTTTTTAGTTGTTTTGTAATATATATATATATATATATATATATATATATATATATATATATATATATATATATATATATATATATATATATATATATATATATATATATATATATATATATATATATATATATATATATATATATATATATGACAAAGACATCGCAAATGGAGAAAATATTTTTTTAACGACTAAAAGCTAAAAAATAGAACAAAGAAAAAAAAGAAAAAAATAGAAAATTGTTTAGAATAGAGGATATACAAAAAACTAATAAAGTGAAAACAATGAAAATTTTTAAAGAATATGAATTGAAGAAAAATATTAAATAAACAGAGCAGCTAAAAGCAAAATTAAAAGAAAAAATGTTCTTGAGATTTTTGAAGGTTTTACTTTCTGCTTGATAAAGAAAACTTGCAATGTGTAAGAAGTGCAAAAAAGAGATAAAATCAAATGGTGGAGTACCAGTGTACTGATTACACATCTAACAAAAGTCGATTTCATGTTTAGTTTTACAAAACTAAACATGAAATCGACTTGCTGAATAGGAAATTGTCCCATGATGCAGCACCATCATTTGGTTTTTTTTTATTGGTAACGTTATCAACGGACGAAAAATCCAAACCTCTGATCACCAATTTCTAACAAAATCAACGCGACAATTCGTTGTTCTTAGTTTTTCTAGATTGAACACCCTTTATGTTGAAATTTTGGATTAACGAGAGTTTTTGGTTCGTAGCTTGCTTAAAAATGCATTGATTTAGTTCAAAAATTGTTGACATTTTATGTTGAATTGGAGTGTAGATTTTCAGCGAGTGGCAACATTATCACAAAACTAGATCATCTATTAAAGATGATATTCTAAACGTCCTATGTTAGTAGTATAGAAAGGAGAGTTCTAGTTCATTTTCATTTTCAACCCTATTTTCAACCATATATTTAAATAAATATATGGTTCAATGTTATCCCTATTGTGTATAAATTATTTAGATAAGAAATATATTTTCAATTTTTTAAAAAATTGAAAATTGAATTTTTTTAAATAAGTATTAATTTTTTATTTCTTGTCGAAAAATGTCACGTGATTTTCTTGCATGACGTCACATGACTTTTTCTAATAATAAATATTATTTTCTGTTTTTAACTTTTCTTCTTCTAATCTTTCCTTTTCTAACTTTTCAGCTTGTAATTTAAATTGTTTTTGCAAATAACAAGCTAAACTTAATCTTCTTTTATAACTTGTTATTTTAATATCTACATCTTTACTTGTAAAATCCATTTCTTATAATTTATGTAAAGAAATTTATTTTCAATTTTTTTTCTTGTGCGCTAATTGATCTTTCAGATCTATGCGCATGCGCTATTTTTTAATGCGTAGTAGTGTTTATGCGTAGTAGAAACATTGTCCTATCAGTGCAGCATAGCTTCCAGATTGTCCGACTTGTGCATCACCAGAGTTGAGTGTCACTACCATTCTTCTACCTCTACCAACGCTAGGCATACTTTCAGATGAATTAAAGTTTCTATAAAATGAAATTGTAGTTGTTGGACCAATTATACTACTTGATTGATTCAACAATCCTGATACTTCATTATTAAATGAGCTTACATTAGATCCATTCCATGAAGAGAGATAAAAATTTTCTAAACCTGATGAAGCGTAGATACATCGACTGTTAACATCATATCCAGAAAATTTAGTATATCCATTATTATTATAGGGTGTCCAAGGTTGAATGACAGAGTTAGTATTGGTAGGAGCGCTATATCCATCATAGATGCGAACTCTAGATTCCCACCAGTCTCCAGATCCTCCAACAACATGCATTCTTATGTATTTCAAATACACTCCGTTTCCATTATCCATAACATTCATTAGCATATATTCACTACCATAAGTTGTATTTACATATCTAAATGTTGTTGAGTACAACTTAATAGATGAGATAGATCGAGGTATTAGAGGATTAATACTAGTTAATGTTTGTTGTAACGATGAAGTTCTTGTGATAAAAGGTTGTAACCAAAAGGTCACTGAATTTCCTGTTTTATTGTATAATTGTATATTCAAACTTGATGTAAAAGGAAGATCAAATGTAAAATATCCTCCTAATGCACTTGTACTAAATACATTACACCCTTGTAAAGGGTTTGCATAATAGGATCCACCAAGTGGTGCAATTAATAAATCACAAGCTAAAGCTGTATTATTAATACCTACACCATCTGTTACAATAGAATCATTACCTATGCAAAGTACATTGTCAGCATATATTTTTAAAAACAAGTTACCTGGTACAGTATTAGGTGCAATAGTAGATCCTGTAAATGCAATCCACAGTTTTTTTAGAATTCCTGAACTACCACTATAGCTAAAAATGGTATATGATCCTGGAGTTGCATAGAATGCTTGAGATTTTTGTCCAAAGCATATTAAACTTGTATTGGGAATGATATCTAAACTTTGATTTTGCATATCATCAATATAGCTCTTTGTAACAGCATCTTGTGCATCAGTAGGATCAGCTACATTGATGAGTTTATTTGTATTTAAATTTATATTAGCAGTTGCAGGATTATAACCATCAGTTCTTAGATACATACTGCTAGAAGTCTGATTATTATCTACATAATGCTTTGTAGCTGCATCCTGTGCATTAGTAGGATTAGCTACGTTGATCAATTTATGTGAATTCAAATTTATATTAGCACTCATACTATTAGTTCCATCTATTTTTAGATAGGAACTGCTAGAAATCTGATTATTATCTACATAATTCTTTGTAGCTGCATCTTGTGCATCTGTAGGATCAGCTACATTGATTAATTTATGTGAATTCAAATCAACATCAGTCGTGGCTGTATTGCCAACATTAATGTTGATATTTAATCCATCTGTTGTGTAACCATATAATGAATTACTACCAGCTATATTCATACTCATTTTTTATATACATATTTTTTTTAATTCAATATAATGAATTTTCAATACTTTGAAAATCAACACCTTCATCAAGCTTTTTTAATACATAAAGGCACAAGTGCCCGCAAAAAGAAGTGTCTCCAAACTGAATTCTTTTACTATTATAATAAACAGGACTGTGTAAATATTGAACAAGTTCAACTGGAGGTGGTAGTGCATAAGAGTCAAAACTTAACTTTTCTTCTCCATCTTTATACCAACAAATCCAATGAAATCCATTCGTACTTGAATCTCCAGTATTTAATATTGCACATTCTTTGTTTTGTGTATTTTTAGGTAATTCATCTCTTACAAATACACCTCTAAAATTTTTAATTTTTAATTTTTTTGCTGCTTTTATTAATTGAAAGTTTGTTAAGGGCTCATTTGGTAATATAATTCCTTCAACATTGATATGTTTGTCCATTTTTATTACTTCGTTAGATTTTTTTAGATCTTTTTAAGATATAAAAAATGACTTGCTTGCTTACCTGTTTATTTTAGATCGCTTTGCGATCCAATTTTCGCTAGATCACTCTGTGATCAATAGGAACTTTTATAATGTCCATATGCTAATGTATTTATACCATCTTCTTGAATTACTCTTTTATCATCTTCTGCGCTCAATGCTATTTTGTTTATTTCTTCAGTATAAACATCATGACAATGTGATCTTATGACATTCATTTTTCTCATTTGATCTTTCTTATTTATAAGGCAGTCTTTATAATCCTCATGTGTAATA